AAAACACATGGCACATTAGCGTTTCATAAAACTCACTGCCATCAAGTCGGTGCCAAGCTTCGAAACTTGAGCAGAAAGCCTCATCTCGTTCCCAAGGAGCAGCTGATGATTTTGAACTCGTGGCCTTGCAGTTAGCAGCCTGATGCCTTAGTACCACTTCACACCCTCTGCACTGGCTATTATTTCATAAGTAAATCTGCACCAGGTGTGAGAGAGGAGGCTGTGGAGAAATTTGAACCCCAGCACGTTACTGATGGGAAGGATGCAGCCTCAAGCAAAACAGTGGGGCAGTTCTTTGAAAGGGTCAGCCCGGACTCCCCTATGACCAGAGCTTCCACTCCTCGGCCCACCCCCCAAAGAATGGAGAAGGGGGGCTCCAACCGGAATGTGGACAACAGTGTTCACTGCAGCATTATTCACAATTGACAAAAGGTGAAGACCGACCAGCCTATCATCAGCTCCCTGGATAAACAAACTGAGATGTTGGGTACATGGGATATTCCTCAGCGGTAAAGAGAGCCGCCGTCCTGGTGTGTGCTCCTTCCAGCATGGATGGACTTGAGAGGAGAACCGAGTCTGAGGCTAGGTCTAGAAGTATCGCTACCAGTCAGTGTTCCGTGCACACGTATGTCTCTGAGCAGTGGGTGGCTGTGCACATGTTCTCAGTAATATACTTGTCTTAGGCTCACTACGTTGCCTTCGAGAAAAAACAAAGAAAGGCCCAGTGAAAACCTCCGCTGTTGACGGCTCTGCTGGACCAGCTCAGTTCACGACAGAGTTCGGCTCAGAAGGTTATGGGGAGTGCTGGGGAACAGATTCTGAAGATAGATCACAAATCTAGCGAGCCTGATAGAGTTTTCTGGGAGGACACGGCATTTTAGGGGCTTATTGTGAGGATGTTTTAGGAACATTGGAAACGGCATTGGAGAGAACAATCCCAGGAGTGCTGCTGAGGCATTCCCGCATCCCAGCAGTGCGCCGCTCTGGAACAAGGGCAGCCAAGGCGGCTGGAAGGTCTGCTCAGGAAACCTCCCCCCACCCACCAGCCCTGACCCTGCCTCTTCAGGCTTCCTTTGATTCTTAGCAGTGAAAGTGCGCTGATAAAAGAACATGACGTGAGGCCCATACGGATGCCCAGGTTGGCATGGCGTAAATCAGAGCGTATAGAATTCTTCAGGGAAGGGTCAGCCAGATGGAATACTCCTGCAAAAGTACGTAGATCTAGATGGAGGACATATTGGGAAACGGCAGCTTTACCTTTCATTCTTTTTAAAATAAACATTTGGCTTTTTTTTTAACAGTAATACTTTTTTGAATTTTACTTAGAACTTTCATAGAAGCAGGAAGTAGATTCGAGATTTCCAGGCACTTGCTGGGCATGAGGGTGTGTGTCCGTGTGTGTCATTCAGTGAGAGAGAGAGAGTTGAGGGGAGGGGTGCATTGATTGGGATAAAATGGGAAGTTCTTGCATATCAGGTGCAGAGTTTCTGTTTGTGATGATGAAAAAATTTGGAAATAATGGTATTAATATAACATTGCATATAACTGAAGTCACTGAATTGAATACTTCAAGTGATTAAAATAGCAGGTTTTATATGTACATATAGTCAGTTATTTTAAAGGAAATAGGGGCTTTCAGATGCATTTGATTTTACTTTACGGTGGCTGTACCTAGGGTCAGTGAATTGGAATTGACTGGACAACACCTAAAAGCAACATGATGGTTGAAGTATTCGGGCAATTTAAGGCCGTTAAGGTATAGTGTGCATGGCTGGGCTTAATTGATGTAAAATGCTTACATTTCATTTGCAGGCACTGATGATGTCGTGGGTCCTGAAGGCATGGAGAAATTTTGTGAAGACATTGGTGTTGAGCCAGAAAATGTAAGCCTGACTTAAAAGAATGTTTACTCAAGTTGCATCTATGAAAACTAGATTTTTATTAAGTGGCCAAATATTAAAAGCCATAATGCCAAGTAAATGAATGCCTAGAAAATGTGAGAAATTGTATATACTGGAACTCTCTAGTGCTCTTAGAACAGAAATGCCACAAGGGATGTCTTTCCCATACGAATATATTTTCTCATTCTTGAGGAGGCTGGAGCTTTGAATCCACAGCTCCAGTTCTAGGGGAGGCAGTCATTCATTCGCTCTCTGCTGGCTCTGGGGAAAGGTCCTTGTGTCCTCTGAACATCTGTGGTCCTGGTGGCT